CCGCTGCCATCCTGGACTTTGGGAGTCACCTCCACGGAAAAACCTCTTTGGCACAAGAGTTTGGAGGAAAGCCCGGCTGCGGGAATGCTTTCAAGTACCTCCGGAGCCAGGTACTCGGGAGTGCCACAGAAGGTCTTCATGGTGGCTCCATCCGTGATGCCTTCCTTGCAGAGCCCAAAGTCGGTGATTTTGATGTGGCCGTCTTTGTCCAGCATGAGGTTTTCCAGCTGGAAAAAAACAAAACAAAACAAAACAAAAACAAGCAGACAGGTGGGAGAAAAGGTCTGGAGCTGAGCGAAGTCGGGAGCATGGGAGCGGGACGCTGCTCCCCAAAAGGCTCCGTCGGACGGCTGGGGTCTCGATCCGTCGCCGCGTGATGGAGACGAGGGTGACACCTCCCCACAGGGCAGGTTCAAGCCGAGCTCCCGCCCTCCCTCCTGCACCAACACCTGCGAAAACATCCCCAGCCCCGGGCGGAGGGCGGCTCTTCACCACCCACAGCGAGCGGGAGCGGAGAAAGGCAGCAACATCCGCCGGCTGAAACCCTTCGAGGTCTCTCAGGGTGATTTTTAGGGGCGCCGGGAGTGACTCCACACCCCCAAACACCAGCCCAGGAAGATTAAAATTGCGCCGGGGCTAAGATGGGGCGAAGGCACCGCTTACGGACGCTGCTGCTGCTGGGCTGGTACCTTAATGTCCCTGTACACCACATCCCGGGAGTGCAGGTACTCCAGTGCAGAGACTATTTCCGCGCCGTAGAAACGGGCTCGGTCCTCCGTAAAGACACGTTCTCTTGAGAGGTGGAAAAACAGCTTGAGGGAAAGAAAAAAAAAAAAAAAAGAGAAGGGAAAAGCTGATCAACAAGCGCTTAAAAAAAAAGAAAACAAACCACCACACCAGTGAAACCCGGGTTAATCGCTCTTAGCATGCAGCTAATGCGGTCATATGTGTCCTAAGCTCCTCGCCTTGAGCGGTCAAAATATTGACGGCCCCGGCTCCGCTCTGCCGGGGGAACTGGGGGGAAAATGCCGCCCTGCGCTGTCCGCAGGAGGGGCTGCGCCATCGGCTGCGTTCCCCGTCGCAAGGGAAGCGTGCTGGGGTGGAGAAACAAAGCTGTACGTGAGCGCAGGGTGGAAGGTAACGGAGCCAGTGAGGGCTGGAGGTGCTATGGTGCCTGCAGCTCCCCGAGTGAGAAGGAGGGCCCGAGGGTCCTGCTTCCTCCCCTGGACAGTCGCTTCACGCACGCAATGGCCTCGCTGCAATATCGAGTGCGAGGAAGGCAAGCAAAGAGCCAGGAAAGCTCGATTGAGAGGAGAGCAGAGCAGAGCTGCATGCTCTAACCTCCCAAAACACATGCTGAGGGGAGACCCTGGAATAAATTGTCCGCTAACGAGCTGAAAACAGCGATTTAACATGCGGACAAGATCCTTCCGAGCCCCGGGGGGAGCTTCGGGTCTTAAGGTCCCACCTCTCCGCCGTTGGCGTACTCCATGACAAAGCACAGCCGGTCGTTCGTCTGAAAGGCATATTTCAGTGCCTGCAAGAGGGGAGAAAAGGGTCTTGGAGAAGCTGCGGGGCTCGGTGCTTCCGGAAGAGGCGGCGAGGGGAAGGGAAGGGTCACAAGATCCTTCCGAGCCCCGGGGGGAGCTTCGGGTCTTAAGGTCCCACCTCTCCGCCGTTGGCGTACTCCATGACAAAGCACAGCCGGTCGTTCGTCTGAAAGGCATATTTCAGTGCCTGCAAGAGGGGAGAAAAGGGTCTTGGAGAAGCTGCGGGGCTCGGTCCTTCCGGAAGAGGCGGCGAGGGGAAGGGAAGGGTCGTTTAGGGGCGCGCTGGGCATCCCAGCGCTGCCACCAGCTGTACTTACGGTGAGGAAGGGGTGCCTGGTGTTCTGCAGCACCCGGCTCTCCGTAACAGTGTGCGCCACCTCGTCCTGCAAAGAAGGAGAAATTAAGCGCCATTTATCCCCCATCGTTTCTGGAAAAAAACTATTCCCAGAAAAAAAACAGGGGTGGGAGCTTGAAGCGCCAACCTCCACCCTGTTTTCGTCCCCGCGGGGTGAAGGGTTTGCCATCTGGATCGTCCCAAGGACGTGGCCGCAGCGCATCCCCCGAGATGGCAAGCGAGCGGACCCCCCAGTGTCACCCAACTGCACATTACAACACGTGCCCGGGGTTTTGAAATAAGGATAATTCCTGGAATCCCCCAGTACTGAGAGCACAACAGGAGCTGGCCATCGCTCGGCACATTTTGAAAGCTGTCCCAACATGCGGGGGGTTGGACTAGATGACCTTTAAAGGTCCCTTCCAACCTTTCCCATGATCCTATGAGCCCCTCAGCCCTGCCGGCTCCCGACTCTTCCCCTCACCCTCCGCTGGGGCTCAGTACGTACTTTTGCAATGATGACCTCTTTCCGTAGGATTTTCATGGCGTAATAGCGGCCAGTGGCCTTTTCCCGCACCAAGATGACTTTGCCGAAAGTGCCCTTTCCCAGGAGCTTCAGGTAATCGAAATCGTTCATGGTCTGGGGAGAAACGGGGAGACGGAGGTGAGAGTTTGTGGCATGGGCAAGCGCGATCCGGGATGGGAAAGGGTGTTCCAAGCTATTTCACCCGCGATTATACCGGTGACAGCGGACACCACGGGGATGAGGTTTATCCCAAAAACCTCCCTCATCGCTTGGCGGTCCCAATCCGCCGCAATCCCGTTTGCGGCAAGAGACGGTGCCGCGCCAGGAGCGACTTACGGCCTTGGCGCGGGTTTTGCTGACGGCCACTTCCATCTCCTCAGTGCTGGTGCTGTCGTTAGGAGATCCGCACTTGTAATCCATTGTGTCCGTCTCTGATTCCTGGTTCTTCAGGCTGTTTGCTACCGTCTGGATGGCTCGCATCCACTCCTCGCTACGGAGAAAAAGGGGATTGGTGGCACAGGCAGGTGGTGAGGATCACGGAGGGGGGCTGTGCCCGCCCCTCCGGCCTTTGCAGGTAAATGAGTCACAGACGAGAGATTTCAGGGCTCTCCTCCAGCTAGGATCAACGCAACGTGCTATTTATCCCAGATTCCCAAAGGAAG